ACCACGATTGTGGAGAGTCTTTGAGGAACAGCTTCAAAGCTGTGAAGATCTAAGTAGGTTCCCTTCAAATGTTTGCCAAAGGCCCTCCATGCAGTAACCTCTAAGAGAAGTGGAATATTTAGATGTTTTCACCATTGCATTCTTAGCTGTTCCCAACCTGGCAGGTGTCAGAGTTCAATCTCTTTTTTCCCAAACTTACAGGTCACTGTGTCACGTTTTCAGTCAGCCTGTGTCTTCTCTGTAGGTTTGCACGGCCAGTTGGGTTGTATGCATTGTAACTGCGTATGCAGCCTAGCTGTAGTTACAGGCTGGCATAAATTTTACTCGTGCAGAAAGGCAGAGTTTTTGGCTTCTCTTTACATTTATAGTCACAGTAATTTGCAGATGCATCTAGCATCAGAGGGCAACACGAGATGTTGTACACTCACACGTCTGATGAGTTCATGATAAATCAGCAACTGTTCTTCAGAAGGATGAGGGATGTTCCACTTAGAAGTGACACTTCATAAAGTTTGTCCTACTACAAACGTACAGAAGACTGGAGAAAGCTGAAAACAAGAGAGAAAAAAGTCAGGTGGTATTCATCCATCTAGACTTTTTTATAATCCACATACTCTTATACTCCGAGTGAGAGTCGACGTATCTGAATGGATACAGAGGTAGAGAAAAGCTTTCAGTAGCTGGCAGATATGATACAACAATCAGTAAAGCAAGGAAAAAACCCGCCCTTGCAAAGAGCTTCATTTCTGGACATCACGTAGAGTATTAATCTGCTGTGTTTTCTAAAACTGAAACCTCGTGTTCATCTTTGCTACTCATTGTGTGACCTTGTTTGATATGATCTTGTGTGTTGAGATGAAAAATCCCAAGACTTTGATAAAACAATGAACATCATATTTCTGATGAATGTCAGCATCTAATTTTTACATGAACATAGTAAAAAGCTCTGTGAGAAACTGAAGTACAATTTTGCCATTAGACAGGTTTTAGGAAAGCACCGTGTTTCTTTAAAAATGCCACCCCCCCAAACAGGGGTGATGAACAACAGTAAATTAGTATGAAACAACGTGAGTTTTCTGGAATAAGGTAGAAATGTGCTGTGTAGAGGGAAGACATTATGTGCTGAGAGATGGAAGGCATTTTTTTCCTTTCACAGTGGGTTGTTTCTTGCCATTTGTACGCTGCAGTTGTTTTTCAAAAAAGCAATATGGAAATACATAGCTGCATCCTGCTATAAAATACCTCTGAGCAAAGATTATTAAAAACGACAGGCACATCTCTGTGCATTTGATAATGTCAAGAGCAGAAGTAAAGTGCTGCACATTGGTGTTCTGAGATATCAGAATAATTCTCTTTTCTGCAAAATCTGTAAAGCCTAATGGAAGAATGTAATTTTGGCCTTGCTTGCAAGGGTAATTACATTGTGACTCAATAAGGCACCTTAAATTTACTTGACTAAGAGCGTCTTTCAATCCACTGCTATTCAAGACAGCATTAGCAAAGGTGTGCATTTAAAGTTTTGCTTAAATGCTTTGCTGAGTTTAGGCTTCAGAAATTAACCATACTCCATCAAATAGTATTCACTGCATCACACTTGTAGTAGTATCCTGAGGTTGATGCTTTTCAGTTGGAAAGCTTTACTTAAAACATGTGATTTTCTCGAATATGATGGGTTGTTCTTCAGTGTTGCACAACTTAAGTGGCTGAGCTTGACCGTAACAGTGGCATGTTTGGAAAGGGGACAATTAAACCAGAAGAGAAGGTAACTCCAGGAGTGGGCTTGAGGTAGTGCTTCCTACTCTATCATTTCCTCCTCCTGCTCTAGTGATATGTCCTCAGCAATGAGGTAAACCTGGGACTTTCTATTGTTTGCTAATGCAAATTTTCTGTCTTTGGAATCATTAGTGACTGGCATGTAGAGTTCACATGACATACCCAGGTCATCTGCTGGGGCTGGCTGTGAAATTGAACTGTGAAATACCGCTCTGAAGCTCTCTTGTGCACACCTTGGCCATTGACACGGGACCCGATTTGTATAGATATCTCCTTGACGGGTTTTTTTCTTCTCCACTTCATTTCTTCTTTGGGACTGAGGCCATTCTCTGCTCGGAGCATGTGCTAGCTGAGCTGATCTTACAGGAGATCCACGTGATTCTTTGGATTGTGCTTTCAAGGTCTACTGGCGGGCTGAAGCTACATTTGAAAATTAGTTTGGATTAGTACAGGGTATAGAGTTAAAATGCACTGTCTGTTTTTAAATAACTCCATTTGTGGACATTATCTGTATGACTGATTTTGTATATTAATGCAGACTGAGTGGCTGTATGAGCTGTATGGGTAAATTCAATAAATTGCTCTCTACCTATATGTGTGTGAGCGTGTGTGCGTAAACAGAAATTTTCAGTTTACACCTATGCATTTGCAGTAATTTGTAACCATACATAAAATTCTTTGCAGTTGTCCTTGGATTATGAGTACGATTTACAGGAGCATGCCCATTTATTTTTAATTACCTTTGGTTTTTTTTTCAGCTCTTCTTTATGCAACTATTTTTGGAAACGTCACCACCATTTTCCAGCAAATGTATGCCAACACTAACCGATACCATGAGATGCTGAACAATGTGAGGGATTTCCTAAAATTATATCAAGTCCCAAAAGGCCTTAGCGAAAGAGTCATGGATTATATTGTCTCAACCTGGTCCATGTCTAAAGGAATTGACACAGAGAAGGTATGAGTACATGAGGTAACAATTTAGATTTTGTGTCCATTGTATACTTTCTTAAAAACAGGACTGTATAACAGCATATAACTTACTAACAAATTCTTAACTGCATGCTAGTCCATTATTATTTTTGTGTTTGGATCAAAACCTGGATGTTTTAAAAAAGGAGTGTTTTACTGCCTTGGGGATATGCCTTTATTTTTTGTTATGGTAAATGTTTTATGCTTTCCAGTCTTACTTTGCCTAAATATTAAATAATTTTAATGTACTTAACTATTGAAATCAATGGGAAATTGCTCTTCAAATTAGTTCAAGAACATAATTTGGTGTCTAAACTACATCAGTATTATTCTGAAAAGTATTGGCATCTGTGAGTTGCAATGAAATGATTTTGATTGGCTTGGACCTTTTACTGATTCCCAGAACATCGACATAGCCATCAGTATAATTAGTATAGGGTTTAATGGCAGTAGAGATTGATCTCCTTCATCTAAAATCTGTTGGCTAGAACTTAAGGCTTTTGCTAGGGAGATACAGAAAATGTGGCACTGGTGGCAGCCATGCCGGGTAGAAGTCCCGCAGGACTTTAGCCTTCAGGAAGTACTGGTCAATTAAGTTTCTTCAAACACTGATTAAAGGAGAAGGACATCTTTGGAATGATTCATCATGTGCCTGGACAGACCAAGTGAATTGTCCTCAGGGCCTCTCTTTCTCCGTGATATGTGCAGTGAGGCTGTCTAGCCTGGGCTATCTTAGAGAGCTGAAGTCAGACAGGAGGGTTTCCACCTGGAGTACCATGTATGTAGGCAGGATATAACAGTTTTAGGTCTAGATCTTTGGTCAGTGGAAATCAGCGATGCTCCTGTGGCTTCTGTGGACCTGATACACGTCAGCTGAAGTTAGGCGTTCAGGCTCCAGTTTCTGTAAAGACCTCCCTCCTAAGAACTTAAAAGGCAAGTGTCCAAGGGAGGGTAAGGATGTGTCATGGCAGATTAATATTTTAGTGTCTAGTGCTTGCAGAGTTTTGGAGTTCTTGCTTCAGTTGAATCTGTTGGGATGATGATGCAGCTTGTTCAGGTATGCCAAGATGAAGTCGCTACACTGAAAAATCTAGTCTTACATCATGCTGATGCAACAGGAGTTATCTTATTAATCATCTGCTGTGAAATTCAGTTTGCCATCACAAATACAACTATTTTAAGTAACAAGGGTTGTGATTTCTTTGATTCTTGTGCTTCAGTATGCCAGATTCTTTAATATGTTAACTTCTTGTACAACAATACCCTAACTTCCCAGTGCTGATTCATACAGTGTTAAAAGTCATCTTTTATATTTTAAACTACTGTAAATGCATTCAGACCTATTGTATAAATTCAAAATAATGTGAACATTCAACTTTCATTTGCATCTATCTCCTTGCAGTTAAGCCAGAGTCCTGTATTATTCCACTACAGTTTCATTAGATTTTAATGATGCTTTGCAGTTAATTAGGAGAACCTATGCTTTAATTACTGAAATTTCCTTTCATAGTTTCCGCATGTCCAGTTTTATAGATTATAAAAATTAAGTTAGAGCCATAATCTTCGACTCACGATAAGCAGTGTTCTCTGATCTGTAAGACAGAGGTGGCTGCTTAGCTAGATAATTAATATGGCTGAAAAACCTGTGACTTGGGTTTTTAACAATTTTCCCTTGGTAAAGGCTTGCCTAAACTTAGTCCTGGATCTGAAAACTATTTAAAACAGTGGAAGGATTTCAGGAACCTCTGCATCTGGACGTCGGTAGTTGCATCTAATCAAACTTCCCAGAAAAGGCCATGCTACAGAAGAACAGAGACAGGATAAATGTAAGGACTTGAGTACTGGTTTGAATATTTTGGAGTATTGTATCCCTTACAGCCTGCAAGTCTGCAAAAGCAACAGTACCAGCATCCTGTAGTGCCCACACAGAGCATCCCTGGGTCTGTATGAGTGAAAGGATCAGGCATTTTGTTTTCAGCTGCAGGACCTCAGCCAAAATCAGGATTTGTTTTAGCAAAAGGATGGAAAATTGTCTCATAGCCAGGCAGCCTTCCTGCCTGTATCTCCACCCAGGAAGGTGTTATGATGTGCTTTACCAAAACAAATGAAAAAATGCTGCAAATCCCAGCTGAAAAATGGTAGAAACAGAGGTATAGACCCAGAGACTAGTCATGTGGGGTAAATTGTTTCTCTTGCATTAGTTCCTTCATGACTTCTTCAAGCCCTGTTGTAAGACTCTCTGCATTTAAATTGAGTCCAGCTGTACTAACCCTAGAGCAGCAAGTGGATGGGAGCTCACTGGAGGAACTTCCAAGGTACACAGAGTCAAGTCAGATTTATTATCGTAGACACAGTACTGGGGCTGATGGGACTACATTGCATCTGCAGCTGACCCACTAAATCCAGATAGTTCTCCAGCATAGGCTGGAATAGGGTCTTGAATTCCTTCTCTGCACTGCTTTGTCTGACAGCCTGGACATGACCTTAGGAGTTTCTTCTGGTCTAGTTTTCGAAGCTCCAGTAATGAGATTCTGACCAGTCTGTTGTCTGGATGTCTTTGCATCACATGATTTCCCATTATCCTTAATTTTTATGAACTTTTCAATAAGCTTCTTATTATCTTGCAAAACACGTGTGATCATGACACATGATAGCTAGTGAGGAGTTTCTTAACTTTTCAGTCAGACAGCTGAGACAGTTTCCATCATCCAAGGATGTCTTTCAACCTAACATACATTATTACATCCTAAACTGTTCCAAATATATCTGCATTGTCACATTGAAATGTGTTTTGCGGCATCATTTGCCACAAATTTATAATACATTTCACTCAGTCACTCAGCGTGCTGAAATGGCTTCATTTTGAAATACAAATTCAAAGAAGTTTAATGTAGTAACAAAGAATGAAATTTCTTATGTGAGTGTTACAGTAGGTTCTTATGGTGATGAACAACCTAGCAATTTTATGGAGTAAAAGTAAACAAGTGTGCCTGTGTTTCTTTTATAACTAAAGATTTTAAATTCATATGCTTGAAATTATAAGTTAATAACTTGATTGGAGTTATTACCACTGCATGTATTACTACCACTTCAGGTGTGTTGATTTGTTGCATCGGAGCTGTTCTTGAATGATGTATTCAGTGTGTAGTCCCAAAGAAGATCTTGGCTAAAACTGAGAAGGATGAGATGCAAACTGAAAGCAAAGTGGAACTTAGCAAGGAGGAAGTTTAATGAAGATCTAGTCTTGCTGCTTGTGATAGCAAGATGTCCTGACCAGAACTTTGTTTTAAGCCCCAGCCTGTTTTCCTTGTACGTGGAAGAGGACTTGTACTCCCACACTGAAGTGATGGTGCCTTAACCACACAATTTTTGCTTCCCTGTTCTCCTTGGGAATTAGCTTGTCTTCAAACCACAGCACTTCAGCCTGTCTCTGAGTGTTCACAAATAAGGAATTAACAATGACACTAAAAGCATTAGTTTATTTATTATTATTACTTAAGGGGAAGCAAGTGGCCTCTGATCCATAATCTTAAATCACTTAAACATGAGAGCCCTCGTCTGAGAGCTGGGATGATGTATGTAATACATGCACATGGACTCTTATCTCATGGTGTAACAGTGGCTCAAACAGATGGAATTTTTTTTTTTTATGTTTAATGCTACAGGTTTCAAGGTTATTAATCTAATAATAAGCAGAGCTAAAACCGTGACAAAACTAAGAAGACTTTATATACTAAACAGTATCTCTCATCCAGCAGAACCTGTTTTTTTGAGAGAGGTAAAAAAAAAAGGCAATACATTCTCTGTATATGAACATTTTTAAACTGCTGAGAAAAATCTTTACAATAATAATTTGATATATGAAACATACTGAATTCAAATCTCTTGGTTTTTATTGAAATCTCTAGGCAGGAAATGAAAAATGTATAGCTGTTAGCTCTTCTATAAGAAATAGGTCATTATACATGAAAGCAGAACAACCATTAACTAACATGCAGATGTCTCAGGGTCTCATCTAATGATAACGTTCTGAAATGTCAGTAAAACCCAAAGATTTTCTCTTCTTGACCTCTATGCTGTTGTAAAGCTTAGGATTTCCTCAGAAAGCAATTAAATAAATGTCTGTCATGTTTTAACAGTCAATTCCTTCAGAAAAGCCCATAGGTTGAAAGAGAAAAAAGGCATCTCTTTAGTCTCAACCTAAGCATCAATGGCAATTCAAATGAGAGCCAAGTCCACGTTGCAAGGACTGAAATGGAAATCATGGGAGAATAACACAGTATTAAAAACACGTCACTGCTGGCCCACTAAGCTTTCACACAGGGGAGATGGGTTTATGGTAAATAGATACAAGTTGTAATTTGTTAAATATTAATCTACAGAAGGACAGTGCGGTTTAGTCGTGTTTGCTGTTAGTAAGATCTTCCAGAGCTGTAGTAATAAATAGTGATACCCTGAGATGAGTAGGGGAATTGGGCTGCCATTCCTATGGTGTCCCATCACATAGAGGTGTCTGCAAGTGCTGGCTGGATTTCCTCGTGGATGACTGGGGCAGAAGGCTTCCAAGCTCATGGCCAAAGAGAACTTCTCCAAAATTAGATGTGACGGCTACATACAATTCCTTGTTGAAGAGGGAAGGTAAAAGTCATTTTGACAAGAATTTTTGTTTCATTGTTGAGGCGGGGTTGTTGGTCATTCCTCGCAGATTGGGATGGTGAACAAGAAGTCTTCCCTCACCTCACAGAGCTGAGCTAGGACCAGGTACAGTTGCAAACCATGGTTCTTTGGAGAGCAGGACGCAGAGATGGTCAGGGTCTCAGTGTCCTTCACACGGGTCCGAGAGCGGGGCCTGTGCACCAGTGGGACTTTCTGTTTCACCTTTATGGAGGGTGTGGATTATTTACCTCCTCTATGCACTATGCATATTCTTTCTGATGTCAATTTTTCTTTCTTTTATCTAAAAAGTTGATTTTAATGATAGTAGTA